GCGATGGCCTCTAACCTACCAGCGATGGCCTCCAACCTACCAGCGATTGCCTCCACCCTACCAGCGATGGCCTTCAATTTACTGGCGATGGCCTCCAACCTACTAGGGATGGCCTCCAACCTACTAGCGATGGCCCCAAACCTAATAGCGATGGCCCCAAACCTAATAGCGATGGCCTCCAACCTAATAGTGATGGCCTCCAATCTACTAGCGAAAAGGAACGAACCGCAGGAAATGTGAAGCACTATGCCACAAGCATCTAGTAAATCCCACCAAGGCACAACTCGCGTCCAATCTCCAATCGATTAAACATGTAGTAAACCTGAAGTCAGATTTTGGGGTTGGACATGTTGAGGGAACATTCATAAGATAATATCATTGTGTAGGTGTCATCCTATAGGCTTTTTATATGATATACGCAAGGAATTTTGGTCCAACACTTGATGGGAATCTGACTGGAAATCGTCCAGCAAAGTTTAGAGGCCCTCTTCTTGGCTTCTGAGAAGCTCCAGCTAGAAGAACACGGAGCGGCACCACCATCATGAGCACACCCAGATTCATGAGCACTTCCCGTAGAGGAGAAGAAGCCTTTTGATGAAATCGACGTGAGAGAAACACCACCAGCTCTGCAATGAAGGGAATCATCAAAAGCCTACCATGCAGCGCCAAGTGCATGATGATAGTACGATTCAGGCCTATCAATCTGTCACAAACCTGTTACTAGTAGACATGGGACACGCACCAATGTAGAATGCTAAACATGTGGTCCAGAAAGGACCTTCGACATATATGGCGTTGTTTGTTTTAGACATGGTGGAAGGTCCTTCCGAACAAAAACCGTTGAGCTTGTCTGACCTCACAGAGTCACAGGTATGGTGGACCAACCTGGACCAGGGTGTATTGTCCGTAAGATGCCATAAGATCCAGTAGTGCCGAATTAGAGCAATCCACACACAGGACACCCTGGTCCAGTGTCTGGCAAAGACAACTCTATACCCTCCCTGAAACAATCATGAAAGTGGATGGCATGGCCGAAAGACCATGAAATCCTCATGGGCCAAACAAGGGGCTTTCACATGTTTTCACTCACTCCACTTCCATGTTTGTTCGAAGGAAAAGGGCCCAACAATGCAGCTCAGAAAGCCAGTTTGTGAAGCCATCCAAGCAAAGCTGCACAGCACGACTTCTCTCGCCGATCGCGACCCAAGAGGCGGATACATCCAGCCAAGCCCAAAGAGCGGGAGATGTGACTGAAAGAATTCCACTTCGTCGAACGACTTGGTCGAATTCCAGGTTTGACACCTGATCTTCCCATCGAATCTTGGGGTGGTTTCCCATCTCCTCTCGATCCCTGAAAAAAACACAAACAAACCATACTATATAACACTAGCAATACTAATACTAACATAGCATATATATATATAATCTATTACTTATACAGTAATTGTATAATAAATGATGTTAAACGGTTAAACAAACAAATTTAAAGCAACGTCATCCCAATCAGAACCAGGATACAATCGTTCCCATCACTTCAGATCGAATGCATTCTTCGAAGGCCCTTTGGCTGCCAAACCACTTTGCGACGCATGCTTTGACAATCTTCCGATCACAGAGTTGACCATTTTGGTGTGCCTCTTCACAGCATTGACTCCGCGTGCGGTCAAAGTCCACCGAGCACAGCTGCTGCTTGAGCTCTTCCAGGAAGCGAAAGTAGCCACGGAAGACTCGGATCATGAAATACCCTGCGAGACTGCCTGTGACTTGCCTTCGGAGCGTCGGTGGAAGAAGGAGGATGGAGCCTCTAGCTCGATCTTGGAATGAATCTGGGAGAGTTGGGGATGGAATCAAGCCGTCCCAAGCAGTGAAAAACAAGTCCAAAGAAATTGTGATTGGTGAGCCAAGGTCACATGAGAATGCCTGTGGGGACATAGTCTTCAGCATCATTCTGCAGCAAAACCATGGAAAGAAAGGTGACGTGCACTGCGGCAAAGGACACGATGGAACATGGCCCTAGGAAAATGGGCCAAATCATCAGTTTCCTTGGGCAAACAATCCATGGAATCTATAAATTAGACATTTATCCAAAGAACAATGACCCATCCATGTAAGTAACTGCCAATCATACATCACTTTGGCACCGCAATGAGATGCATGTGTTCCATGCCCCCTGCCGCCACAGAGAGTGGGGAGTACGAGTGGCGGCAGGCGGAATGTGCGGAGCACTAGGAAGGAGCGAACTGAAACGCGAGAAAAAACACATCCGGATCGGAGCCGGAAAGAGTCGTTCCCACATCTTCCAGCTGTGCGGAATTTCTGCCCAAACCAGCCAGGTTAGGTGGAATGTTGCACAGCCGGAAGATCTATGTGAGAGTGTCCAAAGAATGAAGCCATCCCAGGAGTGACCCAATGAGTTCAAAGGGCCAGTTTGCCAAAGGATCTAAAAGGGATAAACAAGTATGAGCACTAATAGGTTTGCAGCTTTGCTCTCTCCGGAACAGGCCTGGGGGACCTGGAGCCCCTTCCGAACTCGTGGGCGTGTTGTGGGGCGCTCAAGTTTGCGACGCCAGGCTTCTGTGCACTCTCAGACTTGCTTTTCAAGAAGGCCGTGAGCCTCAAGAGCTGAGGTCAAAGGCGTGAGGGTTTTGAAGCCGCGAGTCGCAACGGTTGTGTCCGAGTGACCATCATCTGCTTGGTGTGTTAAGCATATCTGTTTGACCATGACCCTGAATCAAACAAACTGCTCAAGTGCGTTTAACATATGTCAGAGTCCAAACCACCCCGAATAAAACCTAATTTGATCCAAACCATGCTAAGCTCCGAAGAAAAGGGGGGCTTGCAAGTTTCACTGATGCCAGCTCCCAAAGGTAGTTTTGCACCAGTTTGCGTCAATGCTCTTATAGGATAGGGATGCACAAAGCACACTGTTTCGGCCTGAAGTGATATGAGTTTGTTGATGTCTAAAGCTGTTGAACCATTAGTTCAAACACAAAGGAGACGAAAACACGCCATCCTGCGCCTCTGTAAGTCCAAGGAACTCAAATAAGCACCACAATCTCTCACTCCATGTCGGGTCCCAAAGCACTAACATCTTGTCTGACTTATTTAGCATACCTGCAAGACTGCAGATTGCGTCCGATTTCAGCTTGCTGTCGTGCTGGTTGATACATATCCTGTCCAAAAAGACCCTCTGTCTGGGACGCCAAAAGATCAACGTGATCAGCGCTGCCAAGCTTCCAGAGCCCAAGCCCCAAACCGATGTCCGCTCAAGATATTGGTTCTTTCTGAAGCCAGGTAGGAAACCTAGTGCGAACAAAAACGTCATTATGAAGCTGACGATGAAACCGCAGTAGATTGCAGTTCTTCCATTGTAGAACACCAAGAGTGTCAAGATCTTCTTCCATCGTCCACCATGCCAGGAATGGGACCAAAAGGTGCCAATCCTTGAGCTCGGACGACTCTTATGATACCAATGTTTGTCGTTTCCACTCAACGTCAGGGCGCCCAGTGCTTGGTGAACCGGCGTGGTGCGCAAGACCTCGCAGGGAGGACAGCCCATTTCGACTTCTCGGGCGGAAAAGCACCGTGGTCGCGATGAAAACAATATTTTTGTCCCCCAGACACGGGACGGGTGTGTCTGAATGTGTGTGTGTATCTGGACTGATACCAGGGGTGGATTACATGTGGATTACAAGGTTAATGTGTACAGAGGTGGCTGTAGGTCAGATCCGGCACACCCTGGTTGACCACCAAGAATAAACATAATACACTAATGTAAAAAAAATGATTAATAAACCTTCCATAATCAGAGCCCGCAAAGCCACCAGGAATTGCCAAAATTAAAAGTAGTATTGGTGGCTTATTCCACCCTAATGATCTAGTTGGGTACCAGAAGCCCCCCCAGTTAATCCGAGCCCACACAACCCAGAAAAATATCCAATTTGTTCATCAATTAGTTCATTAACTAAGAGGGGTTCATCACTCAACTCATGGACTCTCAGCTGTACAACAACAACAACAACAACGGCTACTACTACTACTACTACTACTACTACTCCTCCTGCTGCTGCTGCTGCTGCTGCCGCCGCTGCTGCTGCTGCTACTAGCTACTGCTGCTGCTGCTACAACTACTGCTGCTGCTGCTACAACTACTGCTACTACTACTACTACGACGACGACCACCATCACCGCCACCGCCACCACCACCAACCACCAACCACCTACTACCTACTACTTTTTGATTAAATCACAAAAAATGTCTAGCCCTCAAGGCCTATAAACAGCCTCTTTAAACAATAAAAAAGCATGCATTTGACAAGCTCACAAAGGGTACCCCGCAAAAGGGCCGGCCCCCCATCAAAAATCTTCTCTACTACCCCCCTATTAATTTGATCCTGTGTCTCTGGCCTTTTGTTTGTGCTTGTTTAAACTTATTGTGACTACTACTACCACTACTTCTGCTGCTGCTACTGCGACTACCACTGCCGCTGCTGCTACTGCTACTGCTACTGCTACTGCTACT